TAGTGCGTGACCTTGAGAGAGAACTGCCGCTCGCCTCCTCACAGTCTTGGTGAGGTTGGAGGGCGGGAAGCCTCCAAGCATCATGCCTTCGTCCAGCATCTTGCGGAGAGGAGGTCCTCTTGCGCTCTTCCCGAACCGAGACATTCCCTCGTTGATCCAGAGGCGCTTCTTGGCCCCTAAGGCTGTCGGCATGGAGATGGTGTTCCCTGGGGAGGGCCGGGGGAGGTCAGTGCGCTGCCGGCACCATTCCCAGGTTCCCACCCACGTAGGTCCCGAGTTCTGGCATGGTGGCCAGAGGGCAGCATTTAGGGACATTCTTTGCTCCTCCCCCCAGCTGTGTAGGGCCTCCCAATACCCTCCCCCCCTCCCCCGCCCGCCATAGCCCGGAGCCGGGCTTCCCCTTGCGTCATCATGTCTGCAGGGGGACCGCAGGCGTCTGCCCGGTGCAGAGCGAGCGGCTCTGGGGATGTGGTGGCTGCTTCCTGGCCAGTTTGGGTGGGAAGTGGGGGCCGTCCCGGCGCTAATTGAAGCTGAAGGGGGAATCTAGGTCGGAGTGTAATTACTCAAGTTGGACGGGGGCCAGGACGCCATCTCGTGTGGCCTCTAACGAGGGTCAGGCGCCCCTTCTCCGCTGCTAGCCAGTTTCCCTGGGGCCCCCCCGGTCTGCGTGTGGGACCGCCTACTCGCCAAAGGGATGCCAAGCGCCCTCGGGCTGTAAGTCCTTGCCCCGGAGAGCACCAGACAGAACCTCCTTGGTACCAGAAGGTTCTTTAGGTCTTGCTGGGGTTCTCTGCCCAGTGAGCTGGGAGAGGCAGTTCTGCTGATGGCTGAACTGGAGCCAGCCTCAGGCGGTGGTGGATGGTGCCTATCTGTGCCCACCCCCCAGCCCCATCTGCCTCCCTGGACTCAGGATGCCCCATTGCCAGGGCTGTCCAATCGACTGTGGTCGTGCCCCGTTTCTGGGGGGCACAGCGACCCTCAGAGCTGCAGCGGGAGGGGAGACCAGCCCCCTTGGCTGCACAGTCAGGGGAAGGGGCAGCAGATCTGTGCTCCCTGCCCCACACCCCAGAAACAACAGAGAAGCCCCCAGGCCTAGCCCCACGGGGGTGGGGGGGGTGGACATCCTCCAGGCTCTTCCCACATGGCTTGCCTGCCAGACCCCCCTGAACCTGCCTGGAATGCCAGCCTCCATGGCAGCACCCTGCGGCACTGTCCATTCGGGACCCAGTCACCACCCTTAGCAGGTGAAGAGACACCAAGGACTGCAGTGAGGTGGGGGCCCTGGAAGGACAAGGGAGGGCCTGGGGCCTGGAGAGCCAGGTGGGTGAGGAGGGGCTCCTTTGGGGGTGAGGTCACGGGGCTCCATCTGGTTATGCCGGCAACGGAGCTTTTCACGGGCTGCATTCCACATGGGGAACCCCCTGCCCTGCTCTCAGCCGTACACCTGGGGCTGGCACTCAGGTAGAATGTGAGGCGAGAGTGAATGGAGGGAGAGGCAGAGCCGGTGACAACTCCATCAAGGGACAGGGGAGGGCAGGTCCATCTGTGAGGAGCAGCAGCACTGGGTGGGCCAGGAGGCAGCGCTGCCATTGCGCACGGCACGGGGCTGGGGCACAAATGCCCCCTCTTCCTTCTTGGCTCCGCGGTTGAGGGTTCAGGCTGGTGTCGGGACGCTCAGAACCCCGAGCAGGTCCCAGGCTCTGGCAACCTTCCCAAGAACACCTTCTGCCTCCCTGTGCCAGGCACCAGGTGAGCTCCCAGGCCCAGAAGGAGCAGGCTCTGGCCTAGGAAGCTGGGGTGGGGCAGGCACAGCCTCTTGGGGGTCTGGCCAGTTGCGGAGATGGGGTGGATCCCAGGGGACCCTGGTGGCGACCTTGTGCCCTGCCCAGTCTGAGCAGCAGCTGAGAGGAGCGGACCTTGGGTGAGAGACTAGGCTCTCTGGTCTCGAGGGCGCTGGGCTGTGAGGGGCAGGGGGTGTCCCTGTCCTGGGCCCAGAGGCCACAGAGAAAGGCTCGGTCCTGAGCCCCAGCCTCGAGGGTTGGCTGGGGCGACAGACACTAGTGAGAGGGCACGTGTGCGTTACCTGCAGCATCCTGAACTAGGGGGACGTCACTTTTTACTGGAGGTGGAGTGGCAGTGACAGGCGGGAAGCTGGGCTGGCTGCTGATGGGGTGGGCCAGGCCCCGGGTGGCTCCGAGAGTGGCACTGAGCAGAGAGTATGAGAGACAGGGTGGAGAGAAGAGGCAGGGGAGGGCGGGGAGGGGCGCCCGGAGCACGGCCGGGGCCAGTGGGGGCTGCGGAGCCACGCGGGCAGCCTGGTCACCGGCGGAGGCAGCAGGAGGAGGAAGAGGAGGAGGAGCAGGAGGAGGAAGAGGAGGAGGAGGAGGAGCCGGGCAGCCTGGAGAGGGTGGAGAAAAGCAGAAAACAAAACAAAACAAAACAAAAAAACACACACAAAAAACACAAAGAAGAAACAAACAAAAAAGAACCAAAATGAGAAACCCAATGGTAGAAGCAAGTATGATATGAAAACGTGTGGACAGGTGAGGAGCAGAGAGGTGCCACGGAGAAGAGAGGGAGGAGGTGGCGGAGACAGACTGGGAGCAAGGACTGCATGGGCTTGGCGAGGGCCTGGGGCCCACGGTCCGTGCTGGGGCCAATGGCGGAAGGGCCAGAAGAGGTGCCAGGGCTGGGTGGGGCCGGCGCCTGCCTCGGCCCTGGGCACTCAGGCCCGCTCACTGGCTGGGGGCAGAGCTGCTTTATTCCGTGGCTCCAAGCCTGGGCCGCTCCTGGGAGCTGAGACCGAGGGCAGATGCTGGGGAGTGGGCAGGATGGCCGCCGGTGGCCTCAATGACCCACGTCCCAGACCACTGCACACTGGGCTGCCCTCCTTTGAGGCCACTGGACCATGCACCTCCTGTCCTAACATGGGCTCAGCAGTGCTGGCCTTGAGAGGAGGGGTCTGGCCGAGGCCAGGAGCTCCCAGGTCCCCTCTGCCCTCCGGGCCTGCCCCTCGCCCGCTGTCTGCTTGTCCCCGGCGCCGCTCACCTGCGGCCGTGCTCTCGTTGCCCACGGGGTGCTGTAGCAGCTCCGGTCCATGGTGGACGACTCGTAGGACACGGCACCCGGGCTGCAGCCGGTGTAGTCCATGTACTCATCTGTCTCCGTGTCCATCAGGCTCGGGGG